ATGAAATTTAAACGATAAAAGGGAGAATATTTTTTCATGAAGGAATGAAAGCTAATATCATGTCTGATCCATGATATTCACAAAAAGGATTTGATGTCACAAATAGCAACCCAAGGTTATCATGGCCTACCAAAGAAAATTTGGATATATTTAAATATCTAAATTACAGGCACAGAGATTAAATAGGTCTATTTCATTTAAATTGATATTGGTAGTCTTTCAATCATCATGTACAAGTGCCAAGAATATTTTAATAAATAAAAATGTTTTAAAATATTTTTGATTTGTTGTTTGCTGATGATAGCTTGTTTGAATTATAAATAAATTTAGAATATACATCTATAAAAAATTTTTTATCTACAAAAAATTTATATATTTGGTAATTACATTGGAAAAAAAAAAAAAATGAAGATAGATTTCATTATAAATACTATATATTTAATTTTTGAAGAAACAAAAGACATATTTCATAGAAATTTCCAGAGAGAAATAAAGATTAGACAAAGCGGTTTGAAAATGTAACATCTTTTTCACCTAGTTCTTTAGATAATTTTCAACTACAGTGGAACTTTAGATGATGAAATCAAGCACAGTGAACTGAAGATACTATGCTTAAAACAATTTTTCACCATTGCTTGTGGAATGAGCTGGGTATTTCTTTTAAATATGAAAATTCAGATTTATAGATTTTAATTTGCCAAATTTTAAACACTCAGAGTCGTGGACTCCATACAGTTACCATATATAATAATTTGGATATTTTTTAAATAAAATACTAATTTGGTGCAATCTGTGGAGTTAACCTTCATTTATATAGGAAATATATATGATCAGTTTAAAGAATTAATATTGAAACAATTAGAATAGATTTTTTCACATACAAGATAATGGTGGACATTTATGTCTTGAGAATGTCTGATGACAGGATAATAAAGATCCTTTTAAACAGCAAGTTAGAAAGGCTACAGGAGATTAGGATATGGAGTTAAGATAAAAGACAAGCTGAAAATTTTGTCAGAAGTAAATATACCAATAAAATTTTTGAGCGCTTAAATTTAAAAAGGTAGAATGGAGATCAACATTTTTTAGTATTTTCAGCAGTTTTCAATCAAGCTTATCTGAATCATCTTCAAGAAAAAGAGCAAAATCTAAAAGGTCAAAAAAATAACAGTGATCTCATTGACAAATCCTCATTGTTTGTTTTGTCAAATTTATACATAGTGGGGAACTAAAACTTAAGATTATCAAAAATTTCATAACTGAACCAATTAAAATTATCAGATCATCATACATGAAAAACTTAACAAAATTCAACATAAATATATATATATATATATATATATATATATATATATATATAAAACGTTTATTTCTAAAGAATACTAGGAGGTAATCAAGAAAAAAAACATAAACACAAATTTTAATTTAACAGTTTTTTTCATAAAAAAAATAATAAAATTTAAAATTTTTTTAGTTTATTAAGTCCAGAAAATGAATTTTGGTCCATTTATTTTTTTTTAAATCATTCATTACTTGTTTAGAAAAACAAGTATTGAATAATTTTACTTAATCATATCAATATTATAGGAGTTATTGTAACATATAGATATAACAATTTTTCAGATATTAAAAAAATGATCAATGAAAAAAATATAGAATGCCCAAACTGAAATCATTGTTTATATCATATATTAAAAGGCAAAGAAAAAAATTGATACAAACTCAATAAACCTTAGCTGAATTAATATAGTACAAAAATAAACAAGAGGACTCCATTTTGTGCATGCAATATGGCATTTATATATAAAAATGAAAGAGTCATAGGAAGAAATATCTATTTTATTTTCCCTTATTTATTGCCAATTAAATTAACACAAACTGGGAATAATAAGTAAGGAGAAATACAAAAATTAGAAAAAGCCTGAGAAAATGTTATTGAGGAAAAAGGATAATCAAAGAACAGGATTCAAAAAGACAGATGACAACTGATGTTGGATTTAAATCTTTGAAGAACATAAATGACAAGACAACAAGAATAGAAAAATTAAAAAAATGAGAAGCACAAAGAAGAAAAGAAAAGAAAACTCGTTAAATTTATGGTTACATCTAGCAACATAAACAATAAAATGATGATTTTAATATCATGGTGTTTGTTTCAAAGAAATGGAACTGTTAAATTATTTGCTGCAAGAGAAAAATAAAGGGGACATTCAGTTTGCCTGCTAGTCTGGAATAAAGTAGCCTGAAATTTTTTTTCTGCTAATAAAATATTATATATATGTCTACAATATATAAAGAAAACAAGATAATTATTTCTATATCCTATATAGGTATTGTATATCTGAATAAATTTATTAGGTTATAGAAAATGTTATTTAAAACAGAATAATGTTAATGTTGTCTCCCAATAAATTTGATTTAAAATAAAAATAATAAGTCCATGGATAATATCATTTATTTTATTTGATCCATATTGTTTTTTAAACTTTTAAATTCTTAGATCCAGAGATATAAATAAGTGTGTGTGTGTGTACATACATACACATATATTATCCTGGTTCTTTTTTTGTGGATCTAGATCTGAACTTTCTTCAGGTCAGAATTTATACAATATATCCTTTACTGTAATTTTTTTCCCCCATCAAATATCTGTTTTTCCTCCTCTCAAAGATTCATTCAATTTCTTCATTGTAAATTAATTGATTATTTGAGAAAAATGAGCAAAAGTAAATGAATGTCCATTTTTGTTGTTAAGCCAGCTGTATTATGTCCTGTTGAACAATTTGTTTGCTTTTTGGGACTTGATTCTCTGTCTTTTGTAGAAACAAGTTTTCATTTTAAAAAAATAGTTTTTGTTTTGAAATTTTTTCTTATGTTTTACTAGGGACTTTGTTGTCTACCTGCAATTTTGGTAAAAAAATCAGTTAATAGTCTCAATAGTTAAATATATGATTCCAGTGAATTAGGATTTTGCCTTAAATTTTTTTAACTAAAGCAAATCAATCTTTCTAGAACGAAAATTTAATTGCAGTAAGAGGTGTTCATTTTATGAAAGTGAAATATCCAGTTTGTTTTAACCATGAAAACAGTTTAAAAAAAAAAATTATGGTGCATTTAGAAAAGACTAACATTTCAAGTTTATTGAATTTCTGGAAAATAATTACTAAGGAATATTTTTTTGCCATAGAATGTTTTTTTATCCTGGAGAAGCCACTTCAGGCCATCAAAGAATGAGTAAAACCAAAAAAAAAAAATAATCCTATGACTTTTTAAATTGAACATGATCCATATCAACAAGGGCCTGTGAAATTTTGTTTTATAAAATGAATGTATCTTGGACAAGACCTAAAAAATTTTTTTGTTAAACACAATTTTTTCTATAAGAAAATAACGAAATTTGCAGGCCACCATGCTTCTAATTTTAAAGTTTTTGATATTTTGGATTGATTTGATAATAAAAATTAAAATGTACACTTATTATTCTTTAGTTAAAGAAAAATTGGTTTTGAAAACATAAAAATGACATAAAGGACCCTTAATAATTAAAGAAAACCTTAAAATCTTTATATGGATCAAAGATGCCCAAGAACAATCACTCCATTTGATTAGAAAAAATTCTTTATACCAATTTTAAAAAATCCTGGATCCTGTAAGTTTTCAAAGCAAGACAATTTACCAAAGAAGGAGAAGATTAAGAAATTAATCAGATTCCAGGAAGTGGGTCTATCTTAATATATAACTTACTATAAATAACTTTTTTTTGTTCTTTTTTTAAATCACAAATAATAAATTAGAGTATTAAACTGTTTTCTACACTTTTACAAATTGATAATCCCCAGTGAGGATCAAATTCACAAGCAAAACTATATTATTAACCAATTCTATAGAACATATTCAACGTATTATTAAATAAAATTTCTCACGAATGCCAAATAATAACTGTAATAAAAAAAAAATTATTATATTATTTTATAGGCTAGAGCAGATATAATTCAATAATACCAGACTGATTGCCAAATTTACAATAATCCATTAATATTATATCTTCTACATTGCAAATCATAAAAGATAAAATTTAAATATTAGTCTATATATTAGTTTAAAATAAAACTGTATTTTATGTAAAGAAAGAAAATGATCATATTGGTCATTATTTTTTGTTAGTCATAAAATAATTCAGCTTGCAGTTCAACAGATTTGGCACAATTTTCATGTTTCTTTAACCCTTCCAAAAAATTCTTATTAGTCATTAAAATATTCCTTTACTGCTGCTATCACCTCTGAAGTATTAAAAAAAAAAAAATTCCTCTCTTTTTAATGTCATTTTAAGAATTGAAAATTGACAATAGTTAGATGGAATAAAATCTGGTAGTAAGGTGGATATTTATACATTTCAAATTCATTAAAAAATATCACTAAATCACTGAAAAACACTGAAAAATCAATTTGGAGATGCCTGATAGACATCATTTGTGGTCAGAATTCAAATATTTTGGCATCTACTTAATTCACAGTGTCTGTATACTCATTTTGTGAATTATCAATACAATTTATTCCATGAAAATCTCTAGTGTTTTAACAATTGTTTTGGTCAATATTCAATGATTTGCTAAACTTTGGTAAAAAACATAAACAATTTCAGAAGTTGACACCATTTTCTCAGAACTTGTCATCCAATGTTTACATCCTACACTTGTGGATTTCCTTTGACATTTATTATTATTTTATTCATTTTATTTTTGCAAAAATAGGGAATTCATGATGGTCCAGAAGACAATACTTGAATATTCCACACTTTCCATTGACATAGTTAAGTTAATGATTTAAAACAAATTTTAAAAATAAATGAGGGATCCTGCATATTGGCACTTTACAATATAATAGAACACTCTTTACTGTTACAAAATAAGGCTCAGATTTTGGGAAGAACTTTTCAGCATGCCTTCTTCATAAGAAAACAAATCTCTCAACGTCTAAGAATAATAATAATACAAGCTTACCTGGTTGAGCAGCCATATTATTCATCCAGTATCCAGTAGAAGGAGCGCTATTGCAGCCACCATGAGGAACCTGCCGTCCCTGAAGAGGTTGTCGTCGTGGGGATACCTGGGGACTACATGGAGGAGAATGGAATGACACTTCCCTAGCAAAGCTTACGCTTTTCTTAGAACGCGCCATATCCTTCTCACTCCATGATACATTGTTGGATCCATACATTGGTGAAATAGCCACTGCACTTCCACTCCCAATACAATTTGAAGGCGACATCTCATCAGGTGATGCTGCAATTGCATCAAATGCTTCTCTGCTATCTTCAGGGCCATCGGCACCAGCCATACGGTCACGGTCACAGCCATATGAATGTCGGTGCTGTCTGGCAGCAACTGTGCAACTCTTGTTATCAGCCCATCCAGACTGACCATAAGGGTCGGAGAGTGACCTCTGACGTTTGCGCAGACAGGACTTCAGGGGGCGTTTATCCGGGCAGTACGTTTCTGCTAGGGTCAACCCCGTATTGCGCATACGGACACGCTGGACAGCAGCTTCCAACTGGCTTTTGCCGTCGAATATTTGATTGTCATAGTAGTTTTCACCTTGACACTTTCCAAATTCTTCTCCATTTTCAATATCCTCTTCCATGCTCTTTTCAGGAGAGGTTGGGGTTTTCTCTTCGGCAACACTGTACAACGTCTCCGTTTGCACTGAAGTGCCACTTGAGGTTGAGGAGCTGCCAGCGCTCCACTTCTTCCAGGGTTTCTGGCGCGCATGGGCAGGGTGGCTCTCGTACTGGTACCGTTCATACCGTCGTTCAAGAATGCGTCCTTTACGTTGGGGTTCTTCTTCCTGTTGTCGTATGAGACGTGGAAGGGTCTCAAAGCCTGCACTGTTGTATACATATCTTGTGTCCAAAAATGCTGCACAACATGGCAAATTGGAGATGCTCCCAAAATTTCCATATCTATAATCAAGGTACCCAGGATCAATTCCAGATGAAGTTGAACTGGTGCTTAAACCACTACTACTTGAGTGCCAGTCGGCCCCCCGAGAGCCTCCAATTGGTCGGAACATGACTGGGCGTCGACTACAGAAAGGCCCTGATATATGCATAGCTTCTGGTCTCTGCAGTTTTTTAAGTTCTTGTAAAGTTTCTTTTTCTTCATTATTTGAAGATGTTCTATGTAGTCGAGGATTGATAAAAACTTGTTTTTCAAGTGAGTGTCTCCGCAGACCCTGAAGATTTGGGCTTGGGAGGGTCAAGAAACTCAAATCTGGCAAAGACCGATGGGAGTAGAAAACTTCACGTGCAAACCTGCCAGGCATTCGGAAATTCTCTCCTGTTTTTTTTTCATTGTTGTCCATCATGTGACAATGACACCTAGGCAAGTAATTTGCATCAGGGACACGTGGCTTGCAGTTCCTCCTCAAGCCTGATGCCATGGAGCACTCATCATCAAAAGAGGTTTGAACTCCACAGTCTCTTGTGAGAGGTGGAAACTGAGCCGAGAAATTCTTTGTCCCCAACCATACGTTCACTGACTGCGGAGAGATGGCTGTAGCTTGGGAACGTTTGCAATTCACTGGTGTTTGGTAACAGGTAGATCTAAGCTCAAATGAATTGTTGTAGAGGTCTCTCTGTCCAGCATTTTCTTGAAGATTAACAGCAGTAACAGTGTGATAGTGCGAGTTTGATGTGTCCCACACAGTTTTCTCAAAGCAGATTGGAGAAAATCCATCTTCATGGCTTTTGGCAGAGTTGTTGTAGCCTTTATCATCACTGTTCACTGACCAATGTCCACTTCCAGGTCGACTTGATAAACTGCTATTTGGTGACCAGCCCGGAATGTGGATATCTGGAGAAAGGGTTTTACCCATGGCTTTCATCCGTTGATACATTTCAACAAGAGTGGCTGAGTAGCGCTTGTTCTCGCCTTTTTCTTCTTCACTACTCTCCAACTCTTTCTTGCGTTCGGCAGCTACTTTCTGCCATGTATGCAGACATAAATCTGGCATACTAGAGCTTTTACCATTTATGTCAGTTGGTTTGGGCATTTGCTTTCCCTTGCGATACATATTCTTTATTTGTTTCCAGGACACCATTGTCTTTGGACGTTCTGATAAATTTACCTTATTCTTCAGGGAGCTAAAGGTCTGGAAACTGCAACTATTACGAGGCAAACTGTGTGATGTAATCCGTCCCTGACTGCTGCATTCAGACATGCCTGATGAGGTGGATTCTTGATCAATCTCTTGAGGTTGTTCCGGCAATGATGAGAGGCGACCTACCAAACGTGACTTTGCCCCATGTTCTGTGCGCATAACACGCAGGGCGGTTGAATAATTAGATGGAACATCTTCATGTCGGCAGAAGTGAAAACTATTGGAGCACACTTCTTCAGCTTCTTCTGCTGAAGAGGCAGAGCTTGGGTTGGTCCTTCCATCACTGTCATCGGATTCAGGCCCCTGGGATGCAGCAACTGAAATGTCAACATCAGAATTACTGTTTTTGCTCTGTGAGCCAACAAACGATAAGCAATAATTTTCTTTTCGAAGGTGGCAATCCATCGCCAATTGTCCATCATCTGAATGGAGGGCATCTACAGATGTCTTGCTACCCTGAAGCTCAGCATTCCTTACAGCACGGTCAAGGCTGTCATTGAGTAGGTGACAAGGTGGTGCCTCACTGGTTGGAGTTGGAGTAAACAGTGGGTCACTACTCAATTCTAGCATTTCACTTGAGCACAACATGTCTCTTTCACTGGTAGAGATTTCCATTGAGTTTTGGTTATCAGAAAACTCCAACTCGCATTGGTCTTCAAATGGTGTAGGGTTAGCATCAGACGAGGACTTTAACGACTCGAAGCTCAGATAACTACCATTTAGCATTTGTGGAAGAATGAACATCTCATCACGCCCAATGTCTCCAATATCCATTGGGGGATTGCTCAAGTTGGGCTCAAACTGGACAGAAAAATCTTCATCATAGAAATATTCCAGAGCATCCTCTGGTGATTCATTACTTGTGCTACCAGAACTAGTCTTCATGGGCTTCTGCGACGCCGTGATAAACGAGTTGCTGCCTTCTGAAGCCTCCTTTGTCTTAAGGTTGACTTCATTCGAAGAATAGCCACTATCTGGCTCACAATCTGCAGGGGGTGAAAGCTTAGTTGGTGACAATTGCTTCCATGTGACCAGCTGGTTTTTGTTGACCTCACTACCCTCCCCCCAAATAACACCACTAGTGGGGTTCTCATCACCCGAAGAACCTCCACTGCTGCTGTTTTGGGAGAGGTTTCTCTGCTTGGTTGGTGAGAGGTCTTTCCAGGTGAGCTTGCTGGGGGGCTTACCTGTTGGCTCAGGACACACACTGCCACTGGTGGTCCTGGCATCCACCATGGAGTTGTTCATCTCAGTGTCCAAAAAGTTAGAACTTGGGGTAATGGCTTGCTTGTTGCCATGGTGATCTATAACATCAGGCATGGTGTTGGTCTGATTTTGATACATCCCGTGGAGCTGCAAGCCAAACCCCATATTGGTCCCTTCTTTAGGCGGAGATAAAATCCTCCATGGGTTCTGAAAGTAAAAAAAAAAAAAAATCAGTCTTTAAAAAATTAAGTTCTTTAATTCAGAATATTTCCTTGTTTATAATTTTTTAAAAATTAAATAATTAGTGATTCAAATCACTGCCATTACATAGTGAAATCACCTTTCACTTTCATATTGCAAAAATGCACAAAGAATATGAAATAAAATTACTTGGATTTACCCATAATTCCAGAGTAGCCATAATTTACAACTTATAAAATTTGGACAATGCAAAAAAGTATACATACACACTTGGCGTTATTCAGTATCTTATATTATTGGTCCTGATCTGGTGGCTCAGCTTCAATCACTTGCCCACCGCCATAAGGTTGCCTCTCTGTACCTTTTTTTATAAATGCTGTCATGGTAAATGTTTGAATGAGCTCTTTGCTATGGTAACTAGGCTGTATAAATTTTATGTGCAATACTAAACATATATATTAGAGCCAATTTTTGTTTTTTGTGGGGTGCAATGTTTTTCCCTGATATTATGAGGGGGTACATATACATGTATATGAGTGTACAGGTATATATAATAATGTTTTGGTGTGGACCGTGTTGCTTCAGCTGTCTATGACTTTATCACTCTGGTCTGGTAATCATTGTATTGATGGAATCCTGGTTTCAATCTTTAAAGGCAAGGATTCAAAATCTGTATGTGATAGCTTCCAAGTTATCACTATTCTTAAATCAGTTGGTAAGTTCTTTGCAAGGATCTTACTGAATGGGCTTAATAAAAAATGTACACCTAGTTATTCCAGGGTTAAGCACAGTGATTTTAGAGTAGGCAGGAGTACTATGGATATGATTTTCTCAGTAAGATAGTTGCAGGAGAAATGCATTGGACAGTGAGTACTATTGTACCAGGTTTTCATGGATTTGACCAAAGCTTTTGACACCATAAATCACATTGCCTTGTGGAGGATTCTTTGTAAGATTGGCTGCCTGCCTACTTTTGCCAACTTAGTAAAACAGCTAAATACGGATATAAATGCTCACCTCACATTCAACAACTCACTTTTAGATGAGATTGCAGTGAACAATGGAACAAGGTGACATTCTTACACCAACACTTTTCTCAATCTACATTGCTGTGCTCTTATCACTTAAACCTTTGAGGACTGTGAAGCAGGATTCTTCTTGAGATTTAGAACATCAGGAACAGTGTTTAATCTCAGAAGGTTCAAAACCAAATCTAAGAACTTTCAGTGTCTAATCCAAGATCTGCTGTATGCTGAAGGTGTTGTTTTTACTTTCATACAAATATCCTTGTAAATATATGAATCCATTGCTTCTCCAACCTCACATAGGGATTATTAGCAACCAGTAGGACAACTTTCAATTCAAAATCAGTTACCAGGGTTAACATACATACATACATACAACATGGTACATAAAAAATAGACTTGTGTAATATGGATCATTAAAACATGCTTAAATATTTACAGCATGTCCCTCAGAGGATGAAACACAATGGCTAAGATAAGTTTTCCTTTTGTCTTTATTCATTTAATGTCATCAAATATAAAAAGTTTTCAATTATTTTAAAATTTCAAAATATAAAAAAAATCTCTAAATCAATTTTTTGAAATGTTTGCTTTAAATACTCAGGCTATACAAATGCTTCTTTTTGTACATTAAATTTTATAAAAGCCTCAAAGAAAAGTTCAGTATTAATGTGACAGTATATGCCAAAATCCTGTTCAGCATTGATAGAATAGTTCAAATCAGCTTCATCACGCAACATTATTTCAATACTACTAACTTTGCACATTGGATTTTGACTTGTACTTGCTGATTAGTATCAGCATTACAAAATTGTTCCCTAGATTCTTAACTATTTGTTAGATAGGCCATGATTTTGTGTAAACTCATTATTCAGGAATCTATTTTCCTAAAATTCTAAAGTTGGGTGTTGCACTCACAAAAAGTGAAAAATTATTTTGAAGAATTTAAGGTTCTGTTTATCCGTTTGGATTACATTCTTTTTCATTTAACAGCATGAATCTTTCTTAAAGAAAGTATGGAGTTTTAATCACATTTAGCAATTAGCCCATTGTATAACTTTTGGCACTAGTTAAGCATTACAGATGGTATAAAATCTAATAACAATTATTGATTAAGGATCATAAGAAATAAAACCATATAGGATTAAGTCACTGTTTCTTATTCATCAGAGTACAATTATGGCATTTTGGACTTGAATTATTTTTTGATTAAGTAGTAGAGATTCCAAATTGGTTAAGCATTTTACCTTACAGGGTATTCTACCAGACAAAGATGGCTTTGACTTCTCATGGTGTTAGTGGTTATTGCCAAAAAAGTTTGTCAAGCTTTAGATAAAACTTGTGAAGCTCAGGCTGCTGCTTTAGATATCTGAAAAGCATTTGACAAGGTTTGGCACAGAAGTTGAAGGTTTATGGTGTTTCTGGGTAAATTTTTGATTTTTATACAATCTTTATTAACAAATCACAAAATGAAGATGATCTTGAACAACCAGTCTTCTAGGTCTTTCTATATAAATACATGTGTTCCTCAGGACTCTATCTTCAAACTATTTTTTACTCTTAATTTTTATCAATGACCTTCCTGATATCAGTTCTCAATTTGATTCTATATCAATGAGACAACTATTTATTCCTGTCTTAATGGTAAGTTTGACAAGATTCTTTGATTGGTAATAAGTTTGATAAAGTCAAATTGGCAGCTGATGTCAAACATTAACTTCAGTCTGTTATTAACTGGGGGTAAGAAATGGCTTGTTAATTGTAACACCACCAAAACTAAACTAGTAACTTGGAAAACCTTTTTTGCATGACTGATACTGATCTCCAGGAGAGTAATACATTGTGCCTTCAATGGTCTAACATTTTCCACTGATATGAATTGGAATAATTATATTGAATCAATTGCTAAGTCTGCTGCTAAGAAAGTTAGTACACTGTGTCATGTTATACAATTTTTACCACCTGAATCTAACTTGCACCTTATATACATCTACCATCCATTTGTATATTGAATATTGTAGCCATATCTGATGTAGTGCTTGTGCTATATATGTTGAGATTCTGGACAAAATCCAAAGAAGAATCTGCAATATTATTAATTGCAATCTGGCATCTTGGCTTCAATCACTTTCCCCACTATAGCTTTGTTGTGATATTTCTATAAATATTTTCATGGCAATTGTTCTGATGAGCTTTCTTTTTTTGGTACCCAAATTGCAGTACTAGATCGGTAGCTAAGTTTCATCATTTTACTGTTGAAATTACTCAAATTAACTATAAGTTCTATCCTAAATAGTTTCTTCACTCACACTTTTTGCCGATGGAACTCTCTTCCAGCTTCTTGCTTTCTTGCCAATTACAATCTACAAAAATTGAAATGCAATGACAATCATAATTTTCTGTCTACTTGAATCCTGTTCTTTTTATTGTTTCAACACATGCACATATTAATATGTATGTATGTATGTATGTATATATGTATGTATAAAATGCACATTCACACATAGTAACTGTATGTAACATCTATCTAGATAAAAAATCTGTGATTTCCATTAGTCTGTCTATCTGTCACACCCTCTACATTGACCGATCAAAAACAAATTTGGGGGAGAAGTGCAGGTAAAGAAGTACAAGTACAGTTGGTTTTACTAAGGTGCATAAAAACCACAAAGTAGGATTTTTGTCAAAGTATTCTTCCAAACAAATCAACTTATTTAAATTTCATCAATAGGTTTGCAAAATTGAATGAAACAAATAGTTTGTAAATCAGGACAAAAATGTTAGCAGTAACTTCAACAATACTAAATAGTGAGAGGATTTCTTTTTGTCAAGAGTGTTGCAAAAATTCTAGTATGGTAAAAAAAAAAACAAGCATATAAAAAATAATCAAAGTATACATATACACAAGAAGAAAAGTAGAGAAATTCATCTAATTCTATCTTAACACTTAATTGTGTACAAAAATAATGATAATAATGATAATTATGACTTTATTCCTCAATGTTAATCTTGATATAAATTGTGTAATTAATACTTTATGCTTAAACCAATTTAAATTGAATAACTGAAATTGGATTGGAGATTCTGTATAATGGCAGTTCACCAGAAGGCATCATTGTTATTTAGTGCCATTTACTTTAATGGCATAATTGTTTCATAATCAGAGGTTAGTAATCAGATAATTTCTTCACTTAAAGATAGGTATTTTAATTACAATATAGAATAGTCATTTATTTGTATGCTCACAAGTCTCATTGAAAATTAAAGCTGATGTTTGAGCTAGGATAATAGTAAAAGAGGCTTGTACACCATCATTCTCATCCTCTTAAATTATCTTTGTGCATAACAAGTAATTTTTGTCATGTAGCACATTAACAGACATCAGGGAATGCGAACTTGCTACATTTAATTATAGTGCTCCAGTTACAAGGCATGTCTTTCAGTTAATGAGATAATTGCTCTTGAGAAAGGTAAATAAGTAAATTTATAATTTTTTATATAATCAATTCACTCCAAGCAAAGCGATAATGCCACAAAGAAGCAAGTGACTACTGGGAGTGAAAAGGCATTAGAAGGAATTGGAAATCCAATCCTTAACAGGAAACAAAGAATAAACCTCTAATCCTGTTCAAAAAACTAGGGAGGAACCAGGGAGTGAACTGGACAATAGGCAAACCTATCTACTCTTATTAAGGAAAAAAAATCAATAACAAATGAGAATTTCAGTGTAGGCAGAGTTGTTACAAGTATAAAGTTGAAGTAGAGTATTAATCATTATTCACTTTTCCACTTTATATTGTATTAATAATTTACATA